TGCAGCTGAGCTGTTTCATTGTATTCCCGGTAAAATTATCGAGTGGTCGCTGGCAGCTATATGGATTCGTGCGCCGGCCGATGCATTCGGCGCACGGATCCATAGCTGCCAGCGCTGCATACTGTCGTAGGACGTTCCCGCGGTCGCGTGCGCCTTGCCGCGGAACTGCGCGCGAGATCTGCGCTTATAGCGCTTGGGATCAACACCTCCTTTCGGCAACGCTTCTCTAGTATCCCGTCTCATCTGGTCACTTCGAATTTTTGTAACAGGTTATATTAGTTTAATACAGAGTGTTGTGATACATAGTAAGTTCCAAGATAGTGGAGAAAGGTTCGTGTTGAGAATAAGCCCAGATTAGAAGTTCTAGTCTCTGAAAATGCACCAGCAAACCGCCCTGAGTGATTCACTCACGGGTTCTTCCACACAAAAGGATAGGGACGCGTTGTAACCCTATCCTGGGTTTGGGTTACATTATTGTATCTAGTGTAAACGCTACTCTGACCGTAGCCTGTGCCTGTGGCTGTGAACCTCACCATAATAAGACCATTGCTTGACCAAGTGCCATGCCTTAACTAATGCTAACTTTATCATAGGGCTATGGAGTAAGCTTACCTCGTAACTATAGAATGTTTAAAGTCTCTCCACTTTTCATACCGAGTACCATACAGCTGGAAATTGGTAGAAACAATGTTGTAAATTTACTTAAACTAGCTGAAACAACAAAATTCACGCCATTTTGTAATGTAGTGAAAGCGCCATCTCTCGGTTCATATACAAACTACATATGCATTTTCAGCCAAAACCTTTTCACCCTCCCCCAAGCACAAAATGTGGATATAAGTCGATAATACGTGTTTTTACAATCACACATATATACGTTCTCCTTCCCTCTATTTTTTTTCTCCTTTATTCCCTTCCGCTCTCCACTTCTACTCCCTCCTTTCCCTCTTCCCCTCTCCTCTCCTCCCCACCCTCCAGTCTCTCTCACCTGCGGCAGCATGGCGCACGTCATAGCAACGGTGGACATCGTGTTCACGTTGAGCATGCGCAGATGATCGTCTTTCTCCACTGTCCCGGAATTCGTCGAAATTCAACGCGTAGGTTGGTTGTAGAGTGGAGATAGGGTGGTGGGTTGCAATTAACAAAAGGATGAGAATTTCAATATTGCATTGCAGAAACGAAGAAGCTAAACTTAAAGGGATTCTTTAAAGATGGTGCATGTAGAAAGCAATGATAACGCTTGGATGATCGAATGCTACGAACAGGCTTCATCAAGCAAGAGAGAATACCAATCTTCACCTGACCATGATAAATTTTTCGAAATGTTTATAAGTTTTGTAAGACGAAAGCGGACACGAAGAGGAGAACCAATCAAGTTGAAGCAACTCCGGGATCATCGATGGTCGGATCCTAGTGTCTCACTCCCTCACCCCCGCTACACGGAAGGGTACGTGCACCTACCCCCTTGGCTGGTTTGTCTCACAGGATTGATATAGGGCAGTGGTGGGCAAACTTTTCAAAGCGAGAGCCGCATCAGTGGGCCATGAAAAGTCAAAGGGCCGCACCTTTTAAAATCGGGCGGTGCGCTCTAAGATAATACGTGCGTTTCGTCTCAAGGGCGCCATCTCTGGACCATAATCATCTGAAATGGCGTTGCAGAGCAAACCAGAGACAATAGAACACTAATCTGTATGACACTGAAAAAGTCAGCCTCGGTTCAAGCACAAACATGTTGACTTTCACAAAAATTTATTGATTTAAAAAAAAAAAAATGTTTATTTATTTTTTATTTTTTTATTTTTTTA